CATGCCAGCCCGTTAGTAAGTTGCCTATTCACCCACCCCACTCAAGCCAGCCCCATCCCAACCTGCCTATAAAAGCCCACCTCTCGCCAGCCCCATGGTAAGTTGCCTATTCACCCACCCCACTCTAGCCAGCTCCATACAATTCTGCCTATTCCCCCACCCCCCTCTCGCCAGCCCCATGGTAAGTTGCCTATTCACCCACCTCACTCAGGGCAGCCTCTGGGTGTGTTGCCTATTCCCCCACCCCACTATAGCCAGCCCAAAGGTAATTTGCCTATGCACCCACCCCACTCTAGCCAGCTCCATACCATGCTGCCTATTCCCCCACCCCACTCTAGCCAGCCCCGAGGTAAGTTGCCTATTCACCCACCCCACTCAGGCCAGAGCCATGGTAAGTTTAATATTTACCCACCCCACTCAAGCCAGCGCCATGGTAAGTTGCCTATTCACCCACCCCACTCAAGCCAGCCCCATCCCAACCTGCCTATTCTCCCACCCCACGCAAGCCAGCACCAGGTAAGTTGTCAATTCACCCACCCCACTCAGGCCAACCCCATGGGAAGTTGCCTTTTTTTCTGCATGGTCACTTCTTGATTCCCTCTGTGGCCATTCATGCATTGACCCGATTCTCGGCAGATCAATCAAGATCCTTTCCCCTATATCTAGGTGCCCATTTCTATAGCTCACCGCTGGCCGTCCTTTATTCTTCTCGCATTTCATATTTCGTTGTACTAACCCCTCCGGCAGACATTATGCAAGGACACCATCGATATACTCCTGTATGATAGAGAGGACGAGGAGACAACGATGTGGCCTGCAGATCCCGAAGTTGAGGCTGCCATGCTGAGAGCGCTATCATTTCAGGAGCCCGACCTGAAACTCAAAGTCCACATGGTGTGGAACAACGACAAGCTCCGTCGGGATTGGCTAACCAAGAAGCTGCAGCGACTACGGTGTAAGATTCATGAGCAGGGAAGGACAGCCGTGTATCTCATGCACGGTCTGCCTTACACCGTCCCTACCTATGCTCGTGTGAAACTGCCACCTGTGCGCGGAGCACCAACAAAAGTGGAGGACTTTATCAAACTATACAAAGAAGGTAAACGATTGTGAATGTGCACTTCCTTGTTCTCGCGTTGTATTGTGGGTTACCCTTCGAATTGCGTGAGAGTCAAACACGCTCTTCCCCCTCTGTTTCCCATGTCAGAGCCCGATACATTTGGCCTATGGAAGTGGCATGCTGATGCAAACCGTGTGCCATTTGCAACAGCACCATTTCAAGTGGGAATTGCTGCTTCATTCAAACGAAAGAAGGCTGGTCCTTTGATTCTCAAGCCGTATCACGTTGCATACTGGTTATTTGGAGTATGTATTCGCTTTTTTCCGAGTTGTACAACAGGATATATTCGTACGTTAATGCTTGGCACTGCTTTTTTTTACAGGTTGAGCATCGTTTGAAGAACAGTACTCTGAACAGCCTCGTAAGAAGTGGTCCACAAAACGAAGACAAAACGAGTGAATATCACAACAGTGTACGCGAATGGATGCGCCACGCAATACTACAAGGCAACATCGACAAGGGACCATGGTACAAGAAGGAGCACGCCGCATGGGCGTTCGCATCCGTGCCCAAGGTTCTTATATCCTGCCCAGAGTTTGATGACCTTGTCCCCCGGTAAGTCATAGTTGAAGGGTTGCGAGAAGGGGGGGAAAGAGGGGTGGTGGGGAAGGGGCACAATGAATGTTGGAGAGCAGCAACAAATGGGTGAAGTAGGGTCATGGTCGGAACAGCAGAAAGTGTGGGGGTTGAAGGAAGGTGATCATGAAAACAGCAACATGTGAGCAGCATGCACGAAGGAGGTGGTGGGAACAGCAGCCACTGAAAGGTGTGAAGGAAGGGGAACAGCAGCAGGGGAACAGCAGCAGGGGAACAGCAGCAGGGGAACAGCAGCAGGGGAACAGCAGCAGGGGAACAGCAGCAGGGGAGCAGCAGCAGGGGAACAGCAGCAGGGGAACAGCAGCAGACATGGAACAGCAGCAGGGGAACAGCAGCAGGTGAACAGCAGCATGGGAACAGCAGCAGGGGAACATGAGCAGACATGGAACAGCAGCAGGGGAACAGCAGCAGGTGGCTAGCATGAAGGAAGGAGGTCTAGGGAACAGCTGCACCTAACGGGGTGTGAAGTTTGGGGATGGAGGGAACAGTAGCAACGAATGGGGTATGAAAAAAGGTGATCAAGGGAACAGCAGCATGTGTGCAGCATGCAGGAAGGAGGTGGCGGGAGCAGCAGCAAACGTGGGGTGTGAAAGTAGGGGATAATGGGAACAGCAGCATATGAGCAGCATGAAGGAAGGAGGTGGAGGGAACAGCAGCAACCGAGGGGTCTGTGGAAGGGGATGGATGGAACAGCAGCAGGGGAACAGCAGCAGGGGAACAGCAGCATATGAACAGCATGAAGGAACGAGGTGGAGGGAACAGCAGCAATCGAGGGGTGTGTGGAAGGGGATGGATGGAACATCAGCAAGTAAAGGGGTGTGAAGGAAGGGGATGGAGGGAACAGTAGCTACAAACGGGGGGTGAAGGAGGGGGATGGAGGGAAGAGCAGCAAGTAACGGGGGGTGTAGGAAGGCAAGTGGAGGGAACAGCAGCAATTAACGGGGTGTGAAGGAAGGGGATGGGGGAACAGCAGCAAGTAACGGGGTGTGAAGGAATGCAAGTGGAGGGAACCGCAGCAACGAGGGGGGTGTGAAGGTAGGTAATCATGGGAACAACAGCATGTAGCATGACGGAAAAATAACAGCAGCAACCGAGGTGTGTGAAGGAAGGGGATGGAGGGAACATCAGCAACGAAAGGGGTGCGAAGGAGGGTGGTGGAGGAAACAGCACCAAGCGAGGGGTGTGAAGGAAGGGGGTGGAGGGAACGGCAGCAGGTGAGGTGTGTGATGGAAGGGGATGGATGGCACAGCAGCAACTAAGTGGTGTGTCACAGCACCCGTCTGTAGGCGCAGAGAAATGAAGGCGCAGAGAGGAGGGAATACCTGGAATGAAGGCGCAGAGTGGGGGGAATACCTGGAATGAAGGCGCAGAGTGGAGGGAATACCTGGAATGAAGGTGCAGAGTGGAGGGAATACCTGGAATGAAGGCGCAGAGTGGATTGCATACCTGGAATGAAGGTGCAGAGTGGAGGGAATACCTGGAATGAAGGCGCAGAGTGGAGGGAATACCTGGAATGAAGGCGCAGAGTGGATTGCATACCTGGAATGAAGGCGCAGAGAGGAGGGCTAGGAGGGTGTCGTATGCCGTTTTGGAGCTTCTTTGCCCGCTGAACGCTGCCGCGTACACATACGCACGCTGCGACGGGGAGCAAATATGAGCAAGTAGCAAGCGTAACGATGGGCAGGTTTGATCACGCTTTCTCGAGCACACCATCACCCTCGCGTCGGATTGCATCGGTCAGAGTGAGTAACAATCTAAACCCCGTAATGCCTTGTAGTGTCTGGATATTTATGCGCACAAAATCATTGGTTGCTCAATTCATCAATTCATTAGTTACTAATTGGGGACTTGGGTGTCGTGGGGTGCCTGGAGGAGCAGATTTTGTGGTACGAGCGAGACGCGACGCGATGCTACGCGACGAGTGGCAAGGAAACCCGTAAGTGGCATGGTTACCTCTGCCTGGTTACATGAACTGGTTATCGCAGGCTGGTTATTGCTATTGGGACACCTCAAACTGGTTACCAGATGCAGGAAACCTCATCCTGGGTACCTGATGCTGGTTGGTAACGCTGCTGAACGAAGGAGGGACGAAGAGGCGAATAACTGTGCGGCTCGCCCTGACGAATCAAGATCTGAAGCGTTTAGCGGAGGGAGGACCGGGTCGTCTGTGCGGCGATCTGGATCAGCGCATTGGCGTGTGGCGACATTCCCTGTGGCAACTGCGAGGAGAGAGGCGAAGCTAGTAGCGGGGCAGCACTATACTAGCGAGGATGTAGGCATCCTGCGAATGCAGAAACGCGCCGCCACTCCCCAGCCGCGCTTCTGGTGGGCCAATAGTCGACGAACTAACTCCGACTGAGGCGACATCTGCGGCGGCGACGGCTGCGACATCTGCGGAGGCGACGGCTGCGACATCTGCGACGGATGCTACGACATCTGTCGATGCTGCTGGGGGCTGCCGCTCCGCCATTATATCAACAGTGGCGGATAGGGTGGTATAGGCGCTGTAACGGGGTAGAATGGTACGTGACAGTAGTTCCGTTGTTGGCGCGATTCGACCTAAGGCTTTATGTGGAGACGGCCACCAAGCTTGGTGATCGAGGTGCTTTTGAAGGGGGGATTTGTTCTCTGTTTTGGGTTCCCCGATACATCGCATGCGTTGTAAACATATTATGTAAATAAATGTATTCGGATGCATATTCGAAGCATATTATTGTAGCACGTACATAGCAACGTATATTACAATAACGAAACATTATTATAGTGAACGGAAATGTTACAACGAAATTTGTTTGTATCACGAATTGACGTGTAATGTTTCTGGAAAAAAAAAATCGAGATTGTATGACTAATTTCGTAACAATGCATTACCAGTAACCAGACGTGCGTCTCTAAACGAGTGACCTTTTGTAGCGAATTACCTAGTTTGGGTGGGAACATTTCGTGTCAGTTCTGTCATTCCGAAAAGAATGCGCGAAGTATGCAGCACCATTGCTCCAGCAATGATCCACTTAATGTCACAAGTATGCCACGTGTGGCATACTTTGAGGCATGTTTAAACATACTTTGTAGACACTTTTTTAGGGCAGGATTTTTGAGACGTATGATCGAATCTCCACGCCACCCTGCCACGAGAATTCATCAGTGCGGAGTTTAGGGTTGACCATCGTAGCTGTTCCTGTTCGCCATCATGTCGACCAATGAGAGCCAAGCGCTGCTCTCGCCGCGACTTGCCACAAGCAATGCCATCCAGGTCAAATCGATCACGGAATCGAGTCGGCCTATGGCGAATAGCGAAGATGTTATCGTGCCAGCGGACCTGGAAGATGACGTTGCTGGGTCAGCATCGGCGTTGCGCGTGTCGCCATGGTGCGCGCCGTAGATGTGGTCGGCGGGTAAGGTGGTGCTGCTCGTGCTGCTCTGGCACACCTTCAGCACGGCGCTCTCCCTGTAAGCATGCTGCTCTAAGCATGGCGCTGTAGCATGCCGCGCTCCCTGTAAGCATGTCGCTTTTCCTGTGTAGCCACCCTCCCTGTAGTTGCCACTCCCCCAGTGCGTGATCAAATTTCTCACTGGGCTGGCCATCCATCTAAAGGGCCCTTTCGCCCGTTCGTATCTCCCCTTGCAACCAACCCTTTATCGCCCCCTGCTGTACCTGTGCACTCCCGCTATGCATTGCACTATCGCATCGCCATGCATTGCACTATCGCATCGCCATGCATGTACGCACGGGCGGGGCGGTGGTGGATGGATGGGTGGGTGGGTGGGTAGGTGGCGGGGCGGTGGTGGCCGTGGGTGGGTAGGCAGGTACAACAAGGTGCTGATCGGTGCGAAGCACCGGCGCTTACCAGCGCCACTGCTCATGACCACCGTGCACTTCCTCGTGCAGGGTGCCATCGCCTCACTGCTGCTTCCACTCGTGACTGCCATCTCCTGGCGCGACTACTTTCTGTGAGGTAACTTGATGAGTTGACTCGAAAGTGTTTCTAGTCGACTGACTTTTGAGTCGCCTCAAAAGTCACCTCTGCTGCCACTCGTGGCTGCCCGCCTCCCCCATCTCCTGGCGTGACTACTTCGTGCGAGGATCGCCGTGTGGGTGGGAGGGAGGGATTGAGAATGGGGATGGGCGCGCTCAGGAACTCGTGCATGCACGTTCTGCAATTTGTCCATTGAGGCTGGTTTGGTTCAGGCGGCTTTCTAATGGATGCTTACTTGTTTAAACGTGTGTTGGCCTGTGCCCTGTGTGCTCTGCCCCGTGCATGCAGTGGTGCCCACGGCAGTGGCCACATCGCTTGACATTGCCCTCTCCAGCTTCTCCCTCGCGCTCGTCACCCGCACCTTCTACTCCATGGTACGCTGTCCCGCCCTTATTCTCCCTCGTCGTCACTGTGCGATATCTTATCCGCTTCCTTCACTGCAGTCTCCTTGGTCAAAATGATCCGCTTACGGGGGTTTGCTCAAGCGTGGGTGTACTCAAAAGCGTTTGTGATATCTTATCCGTTGCAGAAAATGTGTCGTTAAGTTTCGTAATCAGCTACTGTACACCTCTTAACCCAACCCAACCACTTACCCTGGAAGAGTTTTTGGTCCATGTACAGTCCCGCCATTCTGTCCCTCCCTGCTCCTCGCAGATGCGTCCATCCAGAAACGTTCTGCTTCCTACATAACCGTTGTGCCCCTGCCAGAACCGTTCTGCCCCTGCCAGAACCGTTGTGCCCCTGCCAGAATCGTTGTGCTTCTCCAAGATCCGTTGAGCTCCCAAACAGCCAACCTCTCCAGCTTCCTCAATTCTAGCTGCTTTAGTGCTGCTGAGCAACAGATTCCAGATTCAGATTGTTGGGATGACCATTGATCTTCAGGAACAAATGATCCTTGCCATTGGTGCTTATACTCCTTTCCCCGAATACTCCAGCATTTAGATTTACCGCGACAGAAAAACGTATCTGCAGCCATGGAGCCTCAAGCACACATCCACAATCTCCCTGATGACGTTCTTGCTAGGATCCTCTGGCCTTCCCAGCGGTCTGAATTTCACACATTTGAGAGCGATTATTTGTGGAAGTTTGTATGGCCTGAACCAGAGTACATTCATGTGAATATTACTCCAAAAGAGCTGCGTGACCAAAGATTCACCAAGATGTCGACTCCTAACTTCTCAGAAGCCTCTCATAACCTCCTAGCCGCATCGATCCGCCGTCGCTGGCGACGTCTCGCTCGGAGTCATGTCTCAGCGCTCTGCGTCAAACAAGAACGCATCGTTTCTCGCAAGGATGTGCTGAACGCGGTCGCTTGCTTCCCAAAGCTGACCTATCTGCATCTCAGCGATGGCAGCGTCGAGACTCTTGACGATTACTTCCTTGCCCAGCTCGCCTCGTCGTGCCCGCATTTGACAGCATTTCATGTGGGGGAGTCGATAGCTCAGGACAGGGACCCGCACTGGAGGGAGACCGGCGAGCGTCAGTTAACCGAAGCAGGCCTGGATGATTTCTTCCGTCACTGCACTGGGTTGGAGCTGTCTCTCTGCTGTTTCCGCGGAAATGACACGCTACCAGCCTCCCTGTTCAAGCTACCGCACTTGCGAGTTCTTCTCCTCAACACTGCCGTCATCCTGCAGCATCCAGAACTGAAGAGCTTGACGTCGCTCACCGCTCTCTCTATCGAAACCTCAAACGTGGATTTTCAACAGCTTTCCAGCCTCCTCCACCTTACACGCCTCACGAAGCTCTCCTTGCCCAGAAACGTTCGGGTAACCCGTGAAGGTCTGCAGGCCTTCACGTTCTTGCTGCTGCCTTCCCTCGAGTCGCTGAAGGTTGGATTCAACGAGGCTCAGTTCCACGCGATATTTTCTTCAACGCTGCCATGTCTGCGCTTGAAACGGCTGCACCTTACCCATTGCAACGAGCAGCGGCGGCTTCCGGACAATATTGGAGAGGCGTTGCCAAGCCTTGAAGATCTTACCTTCACATTTTGTGAATCTCTCACCAATCTGACGGAGGATTTCACTGCATCAACCTGCCTCACGAGCTTGACAATTTCGCGTTCTTCAATGGTCAAACTACCCAGAGATTTTGGCAGTCTTTCAGCGTTGAAGACATTGGTGCTGCATTCGCTGCCGCTGTACGGTCTTCCTGCCTCCTTCTGCCAGCTGTCCTCGCTGGAGACATTATTCCTGATTGACTGCAAGCACTTGGACTGCTTACCCGAGGGCTTCGGCTGCCTCATATCACTCAAGTACCTGAGCTTGGTGGATTTTCCGCAGCTGGAGCTTCCAAAAGACATCGGGGAGCTGATCAACCTCCACACTCGCAGCGCTAATCGGCCGCTCCCACCTTCATTTACGCAGCTGGTTTCCCTGATCAGGCTGGAGCTGGACAATTGCCTTATAGCTGAGCTTCCAGAAGGGCTGAATCAGTTGAGAAACCTGCAACAGCTGTACGTTCAGAGCTGTCCGAGTCTCAAGAAGCTTCTGGAATTTGTCACGGGCTTGATAAGCCTTCGCATTTTGAGTATTGATAAGTGCAGCGGGCTCCGTACAGTGCCAATGAGTTTGGACAGCCTTACCAGGTTGAAGCAGTTGGAGCTGACTGGGTGTGAGCAGCTGAAAGAATCTCCAAAATTCCTGCCACTCACTCTCGAGGTGCTAAGTCTGGGTAATTATGAGAAGCCCACGGCTCTGCCAGACATGTCAGGGCTTACAAACCTCAGGAAGCTGTGCTTGCGTACCATCGAGGCAGGATGCTGGCTGCCCATTAGCAATGGTCTTTCTAGCCTAGAAGACTTGAGTCTCATCATGGCTGACAATGCAGAGGAGCTTTTGATTTCATTGGCGGGTCCTTCACGCCTCCGTACGCTGAACATTGGTTCTGCTCGAAACCTGAGGAGGCTTCCGGATTTGTCACCTTTACAGGATCTACGGCAGCTGGGCATAGACATGGCTGAACAGCTGACAGAGCTGCCAGCGACCATCACAAGCCTGCAGCATCTGACATCCATTGATATTTATGCACCCAAGTTGACTTACCTTCCAGAGGGCATCGGGGCCTTATCCAGATTGCGCAAGCTAAGCCTTACCAACTGTTTTTCCATCACGTGTCTCCCCCCTTCTCTCAGCCAGCTCTCTTGCCTTCACTACCTGAAACTGAACAACGTCTTCATCTCCTCCCTTCCTGAGAACTTTGGTCAGCTCACCAGACTCAAGGACCTCTGCCTTCATGGTTGCATGAAGCTGGAAGCTCTGCCTGAGGATTTAGCAGAGCTCAAGCTGCTTGGTTGTCTAGATACTGAAGGGTGTTACAAGCTATATGGTCCCATGCAGTTGGAGATGGAAGAAGATTGGTAATTTGTTGCCAGGAAATAGTTATGGCTGGTTTTCAGTTCGCTACCTTATATTCTTCGTTCTATTAGGTGTGCTTCATTTATAAGCTGAACATCGCGTTAGCAGGCATGCACGATTATGCAAGGTTGCACAACCATCAACAGTCTGCTTTGAAATCAAGCAGTCAGCACGGATACAGCCAGCCACTAAAGTATTCTATTATGGTATTATCAAACACTCATCACTTTGGAAGCCAATCACCATGCCATCATTGATGATCCATCTAGATTCTAGAATCAACATCCAGCCATGCATGCACTCACTAGGTAAGACATCAGCATCCAGTTCGAGTAAGAAGTCATCATGCATGAATCATTCTAGCCACCCTGATTCATGCCTGGCTGAATCATGCCACGCTGAATCGTGGCTGACTGGATCATGCCTGGCTAAACCTTGCCATGCTGAATCATGCCTGGCTGAATCATGCCTGGCTGAATCATGCCTGGCTGAACCATGCCTGGCTGAATCATGCCTGTCTGAATCATGCCTGGCTGAATCATGCCTGGCTGAACCATGCCTGGCTGAATCATGCCTGGCAGAATCATACCTGGCTGAATCATGCCTGGCTGAATCATGCCTGGCTGAATCATGCCTGTCTGAATCACGCCTGGCTGAATCATGCCAGGCTGAATCATGACTGGCTGAACCTTGCCTGGCTGAGCCATGCCTGGCTGAGTCATGCCTGGCTGAAACATGCCTGGCTGAATCATGCCTGGCTGAATCATGCCTGGCTGAATCATACCTTGCTGATTCACGCCTGGCTGAATCATGCCTTGCTGAATCATGCCTGGCTGAATCATGCCTTGCTGAATCATGCCTTGCTGAATCATGCCTGGCAGAATCATGCCTGGCTGAATCATGCCTGGCTGGATCACGCCTGGCTGAATCATGCGAGGCTGAATCATGACTGGCTGAATCTTGCCTGGCTGAGTCATGCCTGGCTGAGTCATGCCTGGCTGAATCATGCCTGGCTGAATCATGCCTGGCTGAATCATGCCAAGCTGAATCATGCCTGGCTGAACCATGCCTGGCTGAATCAGGCCAGGCTGAATCATGCCTGGCTGATTCATGCCAGGCTGAATCTTGCCTAGATGAATCATGCACGGATGAATCCTATCTACTGACTTGCCTGGCTGAATCATTCCTGGCTGCTGCATGCCAGACTGAGGCATGCCTGGCTGAATCAAGCTTGTCTGGTTTATTCCGGCACAGGGAACGGAATTCAGGCACAGGGAATGGAATTCAGGCACAGGGAATGGAATTCAGGCACAGGGAATGGAATTCAGGCACAGGGAATGGAATTCAGGCACAGGGAATTTAGGGAAGGGGAGTTCAGCCTCAAAGCATTTGGCCTGAGGCTGACCTAAGACTGAACCAAGACTAACCAAGGCTGACCCAAGACTGACCCAATAATAACCTGAGAGTTACCTGAGATTGATCTGAGGGTGATCCAACTGTCAGCCAGCAATGAACATTACAGCCCACCTCCTTCTCTCTCTGTGTGCCTTTTAGGAGGACACGGCAACAGGGCATCCAACAGCCCAGCCAAGCCTCGCCTCACCCGTTGCCCGCTTGTGACTCGCACGTACCTTCCAATCAGCCCAATACCCTCACTCAACATATTACTCAAAACACCCACCTCCGTCTCCCTCTGCTCGTCCATGCAATGTAGCTGCGATGGGTCAACCAGCAGCCCACCTAGCTTCGCTTGCTACTCACCAGGTGACCCATGGCTCGCCACATACATTTCATCACGCAACTCCCTATCCCGCTGTTCGTCTACACGGCCACGGGGCGACGTGGCTGGTGCTGCACGGAGGTTCCTACAACAGCACTGCCATGAGTCACGCACCTGAGTCACGCACGTGAGTCTCCCACCTGACACTTCCACCACCCACCTGAACCACCCACCTGTGTCATCGACCTGAGTCTCCCACCAGAGTCACCCACCTGAATCTCCCACCTGAATCACCCACCTGAGTCACCCACCTGAGCCACCCACCTGAATCACCCACCTGAGCTAGAGTCACCCACCTGAGTCACCCACCTGAGCCACCCACCTGACTCACTTACCTGAGTCACTTACCTGAGTCACCCACCTGACTCACCCACCTGACTCACCCACCTGAGTCACCCACCTGACTCACCCACCCGACTCACCCACCTGACTCACCCACCTGAGTCACCCGCCTGAGTCACCCGCCTGAGTCACCTACGTGACTCACCCACCTGAGTCACCCACCTGATGGTGCTGCTATTGTTGGTGCTGCTGCTATGGTTGCCCATGGCATTGCCGCGCCACAATTACCCCCCTTGCAGTAATCAACTGGACGGACTGGCCGTTGCACGGCATGAATCATGATACCGGGATCATGGACCATGAGAAAGGTGTTCAGTAGCTGCGACTTCAATCGGGCAGAGTGCCTCCAAGACCTCCTCATTGTCAGGAAGTTCGAGTAAGTCTGGGCGTTGTAAGAAAAGTTAGGGCAATGGTGTGTTTATTGGGTAAGATGATATCATTCATGGCACTTTGGTAAAATGGTATGAATGGATCTGGCCAATCCGAAGAACGCTCCCATTTCCAGCACAGAAGGTTGCAGGTTGCTTGCTTCTTGAGTGGAAGCTGCTCTCCAGCCCACTTAATGCAGAAGTTGCATGATTGGTTTCCCCCCTCCCCCCATCCCCCACATGTTGCAAATTGATGGCCCTTTCATCCCATCAGCTCTGCCCTACCAACCACCAGTGCCGCCACTGCCATTTATCACTAACACCCGCAGTCTCATACTGAATGGCTGCCATCCGAGAGAGGTTTGCACTTTACGGCGCCTCAACTGGAGTCCTACAAAGTGCGTGTGCAAACATCTTGGATGACTTGCCGTGCTGGAATGTTATGGGAAGAACATGTACAAAACAGCTTTCCTTGCCACCATGCGCAAGGTGTAGGGCATGGTACGGTACATTTCACCAACCGCTGTAACATCTGATACTGGAAGGGTGGCCTCTGGGGTCAGGTTTGGTACTGCCTTCTGTGCTTGTCACGGGTGTTGCTGTTGGGTACGGTATGTGCTGAGTAGTAGGCATCTCTCCAACGAGAGCATCATTCTGAGTTTGCTTGGAAGGTCGTTAAGGCTCCAATGCCTACACTCAAGTACCGACTGATAGCTCAAGTACCGTATGTCGTTCTTTTCAGCATCCTCTGTGGCAACTGTCAGACGGGCCATTTCTGAGCTAAACATAGAGGTGAGAAGGAGCACCAAGGTAGAGGACTAATATGGTAAGTCACGGATCATGTCGGCCCAATTCGCCGAGACAAAAAACACCAGCTGGCACAACTCCCGAGAAACGGCATGCTTGCGTATTGCATCTATCAATTGTAGCCAGCGCTTGGAAGTGGCCACAGAATGGAAGGCGAAAGAGAACCTACACTGGAAACAGGACTCGCCTTGTACATCCCAACACCAGATTCGAATGATCTAGAATAAGCCTTCATGTCTGAACTAATACTAGAAGGGGATCTCGTGTTCGATCCGAATGAAGTGTCGGCCTCCATTGGAGTGGCACTGCACTGAACGGCAGTTAACATTGTGCTCTTGCACTTTCGCCCCACAGTAGCAAGTTGTGCAAGCCCCGAACATTTCAGGCACACGATCGTAAATACACACTCTTAGACCTGTGGAGAGCAATTGAGGTTAAGGGTGCAAGTGCAAGAAGCGGGAAAGCGTGAGAGAAAAAACTTGGAAAATGTCAGAAGGGAAAAGAGTGAGGAATGAAAGTCACTGTATAGTTTTCCTCGAACAAAGCTGAGCAAGGCATATAGTATGGCCCTCCGCCAGCTACTGTTGCACAAGGTGAGTGATCGGCAGCATGCACAGCAACCCGCATCCCAAGTACATGCAAAGAGAGGGCTTTCCCATGCCCTCGTTGCTTGCAACCATGTTGACACACCAAACTGGCAAAGGGCACAATGCATCAGTCGGTCCATGTCTTACACCCCACCGCTGACCTTGAATACTCACCTCGCCACTCACCTAACCTACCCACCTCGCCTCCCCACCTTGCCCACCCAACTTGCCTCCCCACCTTGCCTCCCCGCCTTTCTTCCCCACCTTGCTTTACCACCTTGCCTCCCCACCTTGCCTACCCACCTTGCCCACTCACCTTGCTAATCGTCGTGCCACTGTTGCCGCTGCCATCCTTGCTCTCATCCTTTCCAATCTTCTTGCCATTGGTCCTGCCGGGGCAAGTGAGCTTGTGGGAGGGCCAGTGCGCCTTTTGGCACTCTCTGCTGCAATACGCCACCTTTCCACACCCACCACAGCTTCTCAGCTTCACACCACCACCCTCCACTATCCCACACCCTGCAACACCGCACGCACGTTCCCCACCAGCGAAGGGACCAGAGCCTTTAGTGGCTGAAACGGATGCACTGTTTTGTGAAACTCCGGTGGCTGGAGCAGCAAGGGAAGAAGGGGTACCAGGAGAGGCAGGGCGGTAGCACGGCTCCCCCAGCAGCATCTCTCGCAGACATGCCAACAGATTGATTCCCCCTGGCCATGGCTTCAAATAAGCAGGCACCTCCTCCATTTCTCCATTTCCCTCGCTGTTGATACGGCAGCCTCCTTCTCCACCACCACCACCGCTGCCGCCGCCGCTGCTGTTGCCGTTTCCCATGCTTGTGTGACTACTTCTCATGCTGCTACTCCTAAAGCTGCTGTCCTCGCTGCTGCTGCTGCTGCTGCCACAACCACTGGCAAACCCTCCTTGACCCGGCGGCATGTCTTCACGTAACCTCGAATTTGCAGCCTGGTTCCAAATGTCAACTCCCCACGTTCTCGGTTGCTCATCGCTGCTGCCTCTGCCGCACGTCTCATCCAATCCCGGCCTAAGAAGCTTCGTGTTTGACCGCCAGGCAGTAAACATACAGAAACACCATGATCGCACCTCCTGCCACACATCCCCATCTCCCTCCTTATCATTGCCCAAATCCTCTTCCGCCCCACTCTCACCAACTTCCTCCTCAGGGCCAATGAGTCTGGTTATGGCCTTGGCATGATACAAGGCAACGGCTAGCAAGAAGAAGACAGGCATCTCTTGCACCTTGTGACGCATCACGCTCTCCCTCATGCCTGAATTTGTAGGTAGCCAAAGCACCTGCTCTGCCCTTTGGCGCATCCCACTCACACCCCTCCTCATGCCTGCAGCCGCTGAAACATTTATTGATTTCATCTGCTCAACATTGAGGGGCGACCGCAGCAGCAGCGCCTTCAGCAAATGGTCAAACTCAGGGGCCTGGGGGGGAAAGGCCGCGAGAAAGCGGTTGAAAAGGGCTTCAATGGGGCGATAGGCGAAATTGGCAATGAGAGCGCAACAGGAGATGTGTTGGACAAAGGCGCTCAGGCACTCCATGCACTGGCTGCACTCTGGGGGCGAGATCACACGACCAAGAGAGTCCAGCACAAAGTCCACATCAGCCCTGCAGCGAATGATGGGCATGGCATCAACGAGTCTGCAGAGGACGGGTCTGTGGGCAATGAGGACGTGGGTGCATCTTGAAAATCGCCTTGCCCCTCCCCATGCCCTGTGACCATTTCATCGTTCCTGCTGCGACCCCCCCTCCCAGATCTCCTCCTCCTTCCTCTTCCCCTCCCAGCCCTGCCAGTCCCCGCTGCTCTCTCTGCCTGCTCAGATGGCCTCGGCTCACCCTCCTCTGCCACCTCACCCTCCTTAGTCGCTTCACCCTCCTCCTCTCCCATCCCACTCTCCTCCACAATACCCAGACCAAAGAAACGCGCACTTGGATCTTCAGGAAAATTGGTAGCAGCCACTCCTCGCCTTGGGGCCACTCCTCACACTCCATGGAAAAGGCGCTTTCCTCAAGAGGCTTGGGGACGGCGCCAAGCCTAAGAAGCAAGCTTCAAAGGTCCCGAAGTGGATGACGCATGGGCAGGACCTTTCCTTGTGGGCTGTCCTTGAAGGAGCGTTTCTCAAATATGAAATCCGAGCCGTAGATTCGGACCCACTGCAAGATGCAACCGACTCGATAAGTTACGGCAGCTACAAAGTGGTTTGTGTTGACAGGCACGAGCCCAGGGGCGAGAATGGCACCCAGTTGAGGTACTCGAGATGCAGTGGCAGAAAAACCCTTGGCAACAGACGAGGAACTCGAGGCAGTAGAAGAATTGGTAGCACCTGAAATCGTTGAGGCAGGAGCACTGCTAATTCCAGGTGCACCGGTGGCATCAAAATCCCTAGTTTCAGCCGCTACTGAAACTGGTGCTCGGTCATTGCATCTTGCTCCAGACGCTCTTGTTGGTGTTAGGCCCCAATCTCACATTTTGTACTTGTACTTTTATATCCTAGTTTAGTGTAGTTTGCACTTTGTGTTTGGTTGGGTGTACACCCACATCCCAACCAAACCCAAATGTAATATCCAAGCAATCTCCAACCCACCAATTGGAGATTGCCTTGAGATTACCCTTGATTCCCTAGGATTGCCTCCTGATTCCCTCCTCATCCCTACCTTGCTCATTCCGGATGTACTTAAAGAGCTTTGAGCTCACTACTATAGTATCAATTCTAAGCCCGTTTTTGACATGGTATCAGAGCACCTCAACCGCATACGCGGATCGTGATCCTCTCATCTCTGCGGATACTTGTCCCGCAAACCTCGGGAAGCCATTGCCAATCTCGTCGCCGTTGATTCGCGACATTCATCGGCGGAATTTCTCCCGCCACATCTTCCCGTGACCATCGACGGAAACTTCTCTGGTAAGCGCATCGTCGGCGCTCTAACCTAACACTCGTTTTCATCAATTCGTCACTCTCGTCACTTCTTCTCCTCGTCGGGCCGCCGCCCGTCGCCCTGCAGCTTCTCGTCGGACCGCCGCCCGTCGCCCTGCAGCTTCTCGTCGGGCTGCCGCCCGTCGCCCTGCAGCTTCTCGTCGGGCCGCCGCCCGTCGCCCCGCAGCGTCATCTTCGGGCTGCCGCCCGTCGCCCCGCATCTGCACTCCTACCCCCATCCCCCCTCTTTCCCGCAGCTGAACAGGTGCAGCAACGCAGCCGAGCAGCAGCGTAGCCGCGAAGCCGAGCAGCCGTGTAGCCGCGAAGCCGAGCAGCAGCGTAGCCGCGAAGCTGAGGGTGGTGTGTGGGGGGGTGTGTGGGAATAGGATTAGTAGGTAGTTGACACTAAATTGGCGTCTCAGTCACATTCTCCTTCAGGAACCCTAAACCTCAATATTCTCTTTCGTAAACCCTAAACCTCCGGTTCTTCAAAATCTCCTTTGGAGACCCCAAACCTCAAGTTCCTATCGGCGACTTAAGAGCGGCGCTCCGCGCGAGAAGTTAAGGGGTCTCCACCATGGCTTTCTCGTCTTCCACCATGGCGAACCCCATCACCCCGCTCCGCCTTGAAGCCGATGGCTCTAGCTCCAACTTCAAGGCGTGGAGCTACGGAGTTGACAAGCACCTCCTGAGCCGTGACGTGCAGGGCCTTGACCTCAAGGACGTCCTCCTCAACCATGGCAAGGGGAAACAGCCCACTCTTCCCCGTGAACCGACCGAATCTTCAAGTGATACTGACGTGAAGGCGTACGAGGAGGCTGTTGAGAAGTACCGAAAATGGGAGAAGGCCGATGCTGCCATCATCAGCGTCTTCATCGCCTCCACCCCTCCCGAACTTGTCAACACGTTCCATAACTACCCTACCTCCAACGCCATCTGGAAGTACCTCCAGGATCGGTTCATGAACAAGACGGCGGTCGGCGTGGCCATTCTCATCCCTAGCATGTTTCAGGTCCGCCTTGAGGACTGCTCGGGAATGGCCGACTACATTGCCAAGGTGCAGACCATCCACGGCGAACTCAAGGAGCTGGGTATAGTCTTCCCCGAGCAAGCCCCTGCAGCCGCCCTTCTTGTTGGACTCACCTCGGCTTATGAAGTCACGAAGAAGATGCTCCTCACACTCTCAGCAGAAGACCTCACATTTGCTAAGGTCTCCACCGCACTCCTCTCTGCTGAGAAAGATTCCACTGCTCAGGCCAAGGCATACGCTATCCGCGCTCCCATGCCTCAAGCAAGTGTCGCAGCGGCTCTCGCCTCGACGCCCTTCCAGCGCAACCGCTTTCCTCCGTGCCCCTACGTCGTCAAGTACGGCAACCGCAAGGGACAAGTGTGTGATGGCACTAACCACCCCCTTGCTACGTGCTTCAAGAAGAAAGACGACGAGTGGTACGCCATCCACGGAGTTGACAAGAAGCCGCCGAATTGGATGCGCTCTCGTAAGGCCAACCTAGTTGAGGCCCAGGACCCCGCTTCGGCTAGTACTAGTGATGCTGCTTCTTCTTATGTGCGTATCAACCTGTTGTTCCCTGGCACTGCCATGATTAATGAAGCTACCTCACAGTACATCGGCTCATCACAAGCACCACAATACATCGAGTTCACACTCGACAGCGGGGCCACTCACACTGTGCTCAAGGAGACTCTCTCCTTCAAACCTTACCCAACACCTATCCCTCTCTTAGGAGCTGACTCAAGCTTCACCACCCTCGCCAAGGGTACCTCCACAGTCCCATGCCCCGCCTTCCCATCCGGCACTGTCACTGGCATGTGCGTGCCTTCACTTCGTCACAATCTAGTTGCCCAAACGGAAATCCAGGAAGCGGGGCTACGCACCATCTTCCCCGAGAACGAGAACTATTGCGACATCATCAACCCACGCACCAACAAAACCCTTGCGCGCTACACCCTCAATAGCAACGGCCCCTACACGCTACGCGTCCCTCTCCCACAGGTGTCAACCACCCAAGCACAAGCCACTATCACACCATGCTCATGTCGCACCCTCTCCAACCCGACCATCCTCTATCACAATCGACTCGGGCACCCAACTTTTCGCACTCTTGCTGACATGGCCTCCAAGAAACTTCTCCTTGGCCTGCCAGCCGCACTTCCTCCACCACCTGACTCACCAGCTCCCCCGTGCCTTGACTGCACCAAGAGCAAACTACGCCAACAGCCCCATCCTGCCTCACCCACAGTCGCAGCGGCCCCACTGGACCTCGTGCACATGGACGTCTGGGGACCTGCCCCTGTTCTCGCGCGCGGTGGCTATCGCTACTTCCTTGTTATCGTGGATGACCACTCCCGCTACGTCTCTGTTCACCTCCTCCATACTAAGGCTGAGGCTCCAGAGGTCATCATCGCGTGGGTCAAGCAGGCACAGACCACCTTTGACCGCAAGGTCAAGCGCCTTCACTCGGATGGGGGGGGTGAATTCTGCAACGACAAGCTCAAAGCCTTCTGCTCCTCCGAAGGCATCCAGCAAAACTTCACCCTCCCAGACAGCCCGCAGCAGAACGGCATCGCCGAAAGCCGCAATCACACCCTGGTGCAAATCACTCGGTGCCTCCTCAGCCACTCCAATGCCCCACACTCTCTCTGGGGATACGCCCTCTACCATGCTGCCCTCCTCTACAATCTTTACCCCCACCCGCATCTTCTCGACACCACTCCTACCACACTCTGGCTCGGGAAAACACCCACTGCTCGCTCTCTTCGCGTTTGGGGATGCACCGCCTATGTCCTCCTCAACCCTCCGGCTCGACGGCAGAACGGTGGCAAGCTCGGTCCCAAGACTCAGACGTGCATCTACCTTGGGCACAACGCCGACTCACCTGACTACCTCTTCCTCAATCCCTCCACTCAACAGTTGGTCAGGAGCCGCGACGTTGTGTTTGATGAGACCCGCCCATTCTACTCCCGTTCGGGACGGGACCCTCTCCCTGATCCACCCTCCCTCGTGTGGGCAGACTTTGACGCGCCTCCCGACCTCCCGCCTGCTCCTGCCCCCTCACCTCCTCCCTCTCCTGCCATCGCACCATCCCCCTCTGAGGTCTCTGACCCGGCCTCACTGGTGTCTTCGGCAGCTCCTCCCCCCTCTCCCTCACCCTCCTCACTTCCAACTGCGCCGCCCCCTCCGAGCGCACCTATCACCTACCATCGGCGGTCCCACCCTCCGGCCCCACCTCCTCCCCCGGTTCCCCCCACCACAGAGGAACCTGCTCTCCCGCAGTCGCCCGAGCTGATCACGTACCGCCGGCGGCCCATTCCCCCACCCAAGCCTCCTAAGTCACCCTCCCCGACACCGCCTGCCCCACCCTCCTCACCGGTGGCTCATGGCACTCGCTCCCATCGCGCTGCTCTTCCGCTCGCAATGGTTCTTCGATACACATCGATCACACCGCCTCCTCCTGCTGGGGGGGATGTGCCCTCTACCCTTCTCGAAGACAGGCATGAGGAGCTGTGTGATCTCCATGCAGTCATTTCTCAGCTCTCTCACATCTTCCCCGACATCACTGGCTTACCCTCCCTCAACTTCGCGGAGAACCCGACCATCCCTATCCCTCTCACCGTCCAAGAGGCCCTCTCAGGCCCTCATGCGGCCGAATGGCGTGCTGCCATGGACGCGGAGATTGCAGCATTCACTCGCAACCACTCCTTCGACGACGAGACTCCACCTCCAGGAGTCAACATCGTCGGGGGCAAGTGGTTGTTCCGTGTTAAACAGCTCCCAGACGAGGCACCGGTGTTCAAAGCGCGTTACGTAGCCAAGGGCTTCACCCAGCAGCAGTACCGCGACTTCGACCTAACCTTCTCCCCCACATCCAAACTTCCCACCATTCGAACGCTCATTGATGTTGCAGCTCGAGAAGACTTTGAGATCAAATCCATGGATGCCTCCTCCGCCTTCCTACAAGGACGTCTCAAGGAGACAGTGTTCATGGACAGACCAGAAGGCTTCCCAGGAGAATTCCCTCCCAACACTGTCTGGAAGCTGAATCGCCCCGTCTACGGCCTTAAGCAAGCCCCTCGCGAATGGCACAACAAGGTGAAAGAAGTCCTCCTCTCCCTGGACTTTCACCCTTCAACTGCTGACCCGACTCTCTTCATCCGCCGTCATTCTGAGCCATTCTACATCCTAGTCTACGTGGATGATTTCATCCTCGTTGCCAAGGACTCGGCCCAAATGACCTCAGTCCAGGCAGCCCTGAGCAAGGCCCTCCAGATGAAAGACCTCGGCGACCTCAAGCACTACCTGGGAATGGAGATCACTCGTGATCGCAAGGCTCGCACCATCTCACTCTCCCAGGAGTTCTACATCGACAATGTGCTCAAGCGGTTTGAAATGGAGCTGTCCACACCTGTTGCCACCCCACTGCCGCTGCAACACCTCCTCACAGCTCCAGCTGTACCCACACCAGAGGCCTGCTCTGAGCCATACCCGGAACTTGTTGGGTCCCTCATGTACGCCATGATGTGCACCCGACCGGACTTGGCCTACCCAGTCAGTGTTCTCTCTCGTTACGTGGCCCCGGGTCGCTTCACTAATCTTCATTGGAAGGCAACAAAGCGGGTGCTGCGCTATCTTAAGGGCACCAAGTCTCACGTTCTCACACTCGGTGGGCTCTCCCCTCCTCGCCTGGAAGGCTACACAGACTCCTCCTGGGCTGATGACCAGACCGACCGACGCTCCTCTCAGGGGTACTGCTTCACCCTTGGGAGCGGAACTGTCAGTTGGCGCTCCACCAGGTCGTCTGCAGTCTCCCTCTCCTCCTGTGAGGCAGAGCTCTACGCAGGCACCATGGCTGCTCAAGAGGCCCGTTGGCTCACCTTCCTACTCCAGGAGCTTGGCTTCCCTCAGTCAGCCCCCACCCTCTGGTGTGACAACCAGAGTACCATCCACATTTCTCAAGACCCTGTGTATCACACCCGCACCAAGCATATTGAACTTCGGCACTTCTTCATTCGTGACCTTGTGCAACAAGAGCAGCTGAAGGTGGAATACGTGGCGTCTGACTGCAACCTGGCTGACCTGTTCACCAAGCCCCTTGGAAAGGTTCCCCACCATCATCTCCTTGGCGCCATGGGGCTCTGCGCTCCTCCTTCTCCGCCATGCGTTCGATTGACGCCTAA